CGGTGCTTTCCGTTTCAGTCTCGTGCGGGCAAATTGCACTCGAGACTGAATTATTGCCTGACGCAGCGCAGGAGAGCAAAGACACTGAGAGAAAAGTCGGTTTACAAAATTGTATAAAAAAAAGTATACAAATTTTTAAATTTTTTAACAATTTTTAAGAAAGAAAAGTTATAAAATTTCTACTTCCTTTTTTCTTAGTTCTTCAAAAACTTGTTATGAAATCTCTTACTAAATCAACAAAAGTTTTCTCTTAGTGCATTTGTAACTGTAAACTAGCAACAACAGCAAAACAAAACGTGCACGACAGGACATGATAGAAAGAAGACCACAGAGAAGGGCAGCGAGTTCGGGCAGAAAGAGAAAGAAAGAAACAGTTATCCCTCTGAGAGACAGAGAGGGCAAGAGTGCAACAGCAACAGCAGCAGCAGCAGCAGCAGTCGTGGAAATAAAAGATAAATAGCAGCCACGTAAAATGTTGTTGAATGTTTTAAAAAACCATAAAAACCACAGAGAATTACATTTAATGGCAGAAACAGCAGCAGCAGGATGGCTGCCTGCCTTTTGGTGGGGAAAACCGCAATGGGAACAACAGCGCAGCTAGACATCACACAGACATGGATTGATACGTGTGTGTGTGTGTGTGTGTGTCTAGTGTTGCATCCTCTTAGGTCTCATATTTAGTTATCCTTTGAGCAAATAGTCCACTCGAAACATACGTTATATATGAGGATATATCCATAAAGAGTTTTGGAAAATAAGTTTATGGCTTTAAGAGTTAAGAAGAGATTAGAGTTTTACTACTTAAAAATTCTCATTAAAAATATTTTAAAAAATCCAAATTAAATATTATAACTTAACAAAAAGTTCCTATCTTTAAGCTAACAATCCCGAGCCCCGTTGAATGCATAATTTAGATAGTGGAAATTCGGCAACACTGCAACACAAATTGCAAGCAAAGCGAATGAAAAGCCTGCATAATTAACAAGCCAACTGAAAAAGGGGGAAAAGTGAAAATTGCCGGCGGCATGGAAATGCCATAGCTTGAAAATTCTAAATAGCAAATGGCCAAATGGCCAAATGGAAAATGGGAAATGCAATAAACATTCAGCTCAAGTAATAAGCCAACGCATAAAATACGCCATTAAATGGCCGATGGCTAAGACGAGACGAGTTCAAATGACCAGAAGATGGCCGCCTGTGGAAAACTGAGGGGGGAAAACAAGAAGGAGAAAACAAGAAGGGGAAAACCAGAAGGAAAAGCACTGAGAGGGTAAGGGCTGCTGTCAAAAAGTCAAAGCCATTAGGCACACACCAAAGAAGATGCGTCCAGCAGCGACGAAAATTGAAACGAGAGATGGCAGTGTGTCCGAAAAATGGGTGGGAAAACCCCAGCCAAGTCCTAACCACTTTTGACACCGAAAAACTAACGCAAATGAACAACGAAATTTAAGCATACACTTCATTAGAAAGGACTTTAAAAAGGAGGAGGAGGAGAAGGAGTGGCAGGCCACCGCAGGACATGCACAGACGCCTCATTGGCTTTGACAGGACACAGAACAGAAACTGGCATCCTTTCGAGCCTGATTGCTGCGGTCCTCGGTCGCGTGTCCCTCCTTCGTCCTTTTCATCCTTTTTTCCTGCTCACCTACCCACCTGACAATATCAGCAAACATCTCTCGCTTGACAAGCAACAAGAAGCGAACGCAAAAACCGAACAAAAATGAATACGAAAATGGGGACTCGTGTTGGGAATACCCTGTAGGTGTGAAGGGATATTAGTTTTTCTGGAGAATATGACTATAAATCTTCACATTTTAATCACTAAAACTCTAAAGAAACATAATATTATAAATTGAATATCTCAAAGAGCTAAAAATGGCTAAGAAAATCAACTTTTCCATTAGTTATTTGACCTAAAACTCCCCTACAAAGGACATTTCGAAACAAGAAAAGCCTCCCAGCTACATACATTTCAAGGAAAAGCCCAAAGAGGATGAGGCGGATGCTTTAAGCCGCTGACAAAGCTGCTCTAATACCGCTGCAATTAGCAAACCTGTGCACCTGAGCAAACAGCTAACCCCCCGGAAAAGCTGGGGGACGATGTCAGGACGATGTCCACTCGACATGGCCCGCAGCCAGGAGATTAGAGCCAAAGTTGTTTATGGCCAAGGGAGGTATACAAAGGTGGTCACCGCCAGCGGCAGGGATAAAGCATAATGAAAGTAATAAAGTTCCCAGTGACTCAAACTCAGCCTTTGGTTTTCCAACAAACCAACCACCCAACCCACCCACAAACTTACTTTCGATCGGCGACTGGCGATAAAAACTTGTGTATGCCAGACAGCGAAACACGGACCTAAAGAGTATCCTTGCCACATCCTTGCATGTGTTGCATGTCTCTCTCTCTCTTCTTCTTGTTGTTTGCATCGCTCTGTGGTCGTGCCAACATTCCTGCACCGGAAAATATTGGCCAGAGGGACTGAGAAGGACACTTTCCACCGGAGGCAGACACTTTTATCGCCATCGTTGATGTTCGTTCGGTTGCTGTTGTTTTTATTGAATATTCATAAATGGCCAAAAAGGCTAAAAAGGCTAGAATGGCCAAAAAAGGCCAGCAGGAGCCTGCAACTAAAATGGTCGCTTGTCGGCCTCAGCTGTTCTCGGACCCGTCTGTCTGTCTGGAATCCATGGAATCAATATTTTATGCCCAGCTGCTGGTCAGAAGGAAGATGCTGGTTGCCACCAAGCTGTACGGGGAAGAAAAGCCACAGAGGGGGGAAAATTTTGCACTAAGAGAAATCTGTCTTTTAAGCCTATAAATATCCTAGGTATATCAATAAGTTGATTGGTTTGGAATTCAATTTAAGCTATTGCTGCTATGTAATCGATTTTATCGATATCTAAAAGATATATCGATGTATTTTTATGAATTTCGATATTTTTGATAAACTTTTTTATTTTAAAAATAAAGAAATTTAAATTTAATATTATTTGATTAGTTGATTAAAGGTCAATTTAAGCTATTGCTGCTAAAAAAAATTGATATTATCGATATCTAATATCGATTATATATGAATTTTAACACTTTTATTGTAAAAAATGTTTCAATTTAATATTTACTGTTGAGTATGAAAGTCAATTTAAGCTTTTGCTGATAAACAATCGATATTATCGATCTCTAATATCGATATATATATGAATATATATAGTATTACTATAACAAATTTTTCAATTTCATATTTACTGTTTTAGTATGAAAGTAAATTTAAGCTTTTGCTGCTAAACAATCGATAATAGCGATCTCTAATATCGATATATATATATATATATATTGATAGTTTTACTAGAGAAAATATCTGAATTTAATATTTATTTTTAAGTTTGAAAGTCAATTTAAGCTAATGCTGCTAAACAATCGATAATATCGATGACTTTAGTAATATCTATAAAAAACTGACTACCGATTTAGTTTCAGAAGACAACATCAATATTAAAAGGCTTGCTATACTTTTTGAATTTATAGATTAGAAGTTGATTCAAACTACTTTTGCAAAACAATCGATATTATCGATGAGTAAAGTATCTATAAGAAACAAAACAATCGATAGTTGTATTTTAAACTCCCAGGAACAACATACATTTCTATAATTTTGTTATACTATTTTAGTTCAAGAATAAGAGAAAAATCTAAACTTGATAATATATCGATAATCATTTGAAACGCCAGAAAACAATATCGATATTGATAGTTTTGCTGTTCTGGTTTACTTTTAGCAAAGAGAGAATTTCTAAAAATGATTTTAAAATACCACAAAAAGCAAACAAACCCGATAAAAAAAAATCAACTAAAAACAACGAATTTTCCCCCAGTGCAACATCCAATGCCTGGAAGTGCAACAGGATGTAGAGGCCACAAATTAAAATGTGAGCGCACACACATGTCTGATAGGGCCACGCCCCAGACTTTTTGGTCATCTCAATTGTGGTTGCCACGCCCCATTTCGACCATGAAATTCAGTGAGTTGGCAACAACAATTTGATTGCCTACTTTTGAGAGTCAGCTAGCTAGCTAGCTTGCATATTGGCAAGGATGGAAGGCTTTCTAATTGGAATTTAGCAATATGGCCAACGTTTAAATTTAGTCGATAAATTATTAGACAATTAGTAGGCATGACTGACTTTCTGGCATTCGGAAATTGTATGCTGCTGCTGCTGTTGATGTTGATGTTGATGTTGATGTGGCATAGCAACGCATATCAAATTAACTAACAAATTGACTTGTCAAACTCTTTTCAGCCCCACGGCAACGTCTGACTGCCACTGCCACTGCCATCGCCTCTCTGAAAAGGAAATTACAAACCATTTGCCACAAAGGACAAGACAGAGGGGGGAGAGAGGTTATACGCACACACACAAAAGGACTTTCAGTTATTAATGAAGAAATCGCTGGGAAAAGCCACGCACGACCAGCTCACAATAATGAGGAAAATGCAAGGGAAATGGCCGACGACGTGTATTGTAATTTTTATTCCCCTTTTTTTTCCGATTTTCATTTGATTTCATCATTTTATGAACCCAACACAGAATTATCATTATTATTATTATTATTATTATTATTTGTGAGAGAAGCTGAGAGCCATTACCATTGGCCCATCACGGCAAGGCAACACGTAGCAAATTATGAATGAATGAAAGAAAGACGAGCACACACGTAATTGCCACTTGGCTATGCCACATGCGGCAACGAAGGCGACAAATTTCAGTTGGCTCTCCAAGGAGTTGCAAGACGAGTAAATTACTCAATGAACGGTGGCAAATTACATGAAAGGGAAACCCCAAGGAGTCGAGATTGAAATGAGAGAGAGATGAATGCGGTTCTGGGAAGAAAACTTGCTGGTTTCGACTTTCTTTCTCAGGAACTATACTTTCTAACGGAGCAATCTTCGAGAGATCTTCTCATCTATTAATTTCTAACATTTCCCTCATAACAAAAACCTCACCTGACTTAGCTCATCCCGGGAGCGTCGTGAGCACTTGGGCAGCAGGGCCTGCATGTCATCTTCGAAGGCGCCGCCATGGGCTGCATCCACCACATCATCCACATCTCCATCTGGATCTAGACTGCTGCTCCTACGACTATCTATATTCTGATTTTGATTCTGATTCGGATCAGTTCGATTTGTGGCAGATGTCATTGAGGTTGTGGAAGTCGTATTGTTGTTGTTGTTGTTATTGTTGTTGAGATTTGACTGGGCCAGGACATTCAGTTTGCTGCTGATGGCACTGAGACTGGCAGCCTGTTGCTGAGATTTTTGTGACTGTTGGCCATTGTGATTGTTGTTGATGTTGTTGTTGTTATTGGTGGTGGTAGTGTTGGTGGTGGTGGTGGTGCCAGCATCCAAGGAGGAGGCCTCCAAGGATGAGGAAGTGGCTACGGCAGAGGGTAGAGGTTCACTTTGTCTGAAAATGAAAAGAAAGTTTATTAGTAGGGAAAATTATAAATAATTCTGGAAAAATATCTAAGCTCTTAGAAACAAGTTTGGGATATTTTTATTATTAACTTATTTAATACTTAATCTTATAAAAATATTTAAATTTAAACTTCTTCTTAAAGAAAGTTCTTAAAAGGCAGTTTTACTACCTAAAAAGCCTTCCCTCCTTCTTCGCCTTTCAGCTGCCTTAAAGATATTTCCCAACCCAAAGCCCATTTGTCAACGCTCTACCCTCAGTCAGCTGTCAAAAGGTTAATTTGCGACACATTTTTTTCCCTCAATTCCCCTTGCCAAAAGTGGCCAAAATGCAAGACAAGGAAGGAAGTTGAAGGCTGAAGGACGCAGGACTCATGACGCCTCATCATGACGCCTCAAAGCGGGCAATTTTACGCCATTTTAACAATATTTCCACGATAGGGCACAAATGTTATTAATGAATGGCTAGAGAATAGCAAAAGAAAGGCAAAGAGAAAAAAAACGAAAAAAAAAGCGAGAAAACAGAAAAGCTAAAGAAAATATAGAGTGCTGGCATGTGGCTTCCGTCTTTAAGTTGAACTCCAAGGACCTTCACAACCAACCGCAGGACAGGCCCTGTTGGCCCTGTTGATGGATCATCAGCTCCTTGGAAGGAAAAGCAGCACCTCTTGTCATAAACAAGAAGGAAAATGCCGACATATGAAAAGTTGTCAAACACTCTCTGACATAATCATGTCAAATTAACACGAAACAAACAGGATGTCAACCTCGCACTCTGTGTGGGGTTGTTTGACTTGGTTGGGTGGCTGACTGACTGGCTGACTGGCTGGTTGGGTGGATAATAAAAACACTCTGAAAGAATTAGGCGGCTTAGGGAGAACTTTGACGGGGGGGGCAGGCGGTTCAAGGACGCGGCTAACAGCAAAGGAAAACCAAGAAAAACAAGCTAGAAATTTATGGGGATTTGTAGAACAAACAAGGGCCGAGCGATAAACAAAACAGCAAAATGACAGCTGGCTAGGCGAAACCGGGAAATAGGAGTCGGCCTTGGAAAATGGCAATGGAAAAGCGCCCACTCATGGCAATTAAGATTAAGTGGCAAAGTGGGTTTGGGAGGGGGCCATGTAAACGTTGTCCTGTGGCCAAGAACCTTAAATGTTTTGGCCATTCTGAAGGTCAACTTTGGTCATAATTTTGTGATCGAAGGGTGGTCAGTGGTGTTGGGAAATCTTTAAGGCAGCTTTAATGCACTGCAAGTATTTGCAATTTTCCCTTTCATCTTCAAATCTTCTTCATTCACAATCAGCCGCCTAGCTAACTCAATTATTGCCCAACAGAAATGTGAAAAGTTCAATCGGAAGTTCTCCTCGGTTGCCAGTGAAAACCCCTTTTGCTGGGCGGCAATCACAGTTGGCCCTCAAAAAACTGTCAAAAAGTTTTCCATCCTCTTCAAAGAGTCCCATGAATATTTACTCTTTGTCCTTAAAAAGGGAAATCAAAGCGCGTGTGTGTGGAAAATAAAACAAAAAGTAAGCATATGTACGAAACAGAGGTGCAGGATATGGCATTTTCCAAGGATGCTGCGGGCTGCTAGATGCGGTTTGGTTTTGGAGTTGCTGTGATCCTGTTTTAGGGTTAGAAAGGAGGTTCCGTACGAGGGGGGGTAAAAATGCAAATTAGTTGTGACAGCTTTCAAAAAGTTCAACATAGTTGTCGATGCTTTCGACGGAGTACTGGGTTTTCCTTCTCGTCAGTTGACAGCTCAGCTTACCTCAGCTCAGGCTGACACATCGAGTGCGAGAAGTTGGAAAATGCAGTGGCAGAGTTCATGTAGCATGTTCAAAGTTCAAATTTGCACTGGAAAATGCAGCTTGGGATTGGGATTTGTTTTAAGAGAATGTTTGTTGGGTTTTATAAAGATAGAAAATTGGTTTAAATAATAATTTCTGGCAATTTATAGATTAATAAATTATAGATTTACAAATCTTATAACCTTTTAGATCTTATAATGCTATGTTCTGAGCTCATCTAAAGTTAGTTAATTCTTAAAAAATACCTTTTATAAACTTAATGATGGTTTAATAATATAATATAGGCCAAAAAAGTGTCTTAAAAGTAAATAAAAAATCAAGAAAGGCTTAGCTAAAATCACTTTAAACTGCAGGTATTTATAAGCTTGTTTTCTTTTCAATAAAAAATATTTTTAAAATTAAATTCTAGCACTTAAATAAGCTACAAAAAATATATATTATTTTACCTAAATAAAATATTTGTAAATTTAATTTAAATTAAAATAATATTAAAGAAAAAATCAACTACAAATTAAGCTTTTTGTAGAAACAAAATATCAACTAAAACCAAGAACAAGATTAGCTTTTATGAATTTAAATCTTTTTACATTTTCCATTTCATAAATCACAAATTTCCTGCCGCACTTTTCTCCCAGTGCCATGGCAATGCATTTCTGTTTTTGGCCAAAATAGAAGAGAAACCAAAAAGAAGTACTTGGAGTAGTAGGAAAGGCGTAGTGTGGAGTCATGCCCCCATGTCTGTGCCCCACGGGCTCGGCATAACCCAACCGTTTTTGATATGGTAATGTGGCAATGGCAGTGCGTGTGTGGAATGCTCCATTATTAGATTTTTCCCCAGTCTAAACTTCAAGTCGAGACCAGAGAAAGGAGTCAAGTTGAGGGAGGGAGTAGGAGGGCAAACATCGTCGAGAGTGCCATAAAGTAGTAATACTAATTAAGTTGTGTATTATGCATGGTGCAGCTAAGCTAGATGAGGAATGGGTTTTAAGGGGAGGGAGGGTGAATGGGTTAGAAGATTGCCATTGGGATTGGAACTCCCAGTCAGGCGGGCGAGCGGGCTGGCACTTGACTCGAGCAGCCAGTTGACATCGTTTAGCTGAGCACTCGGCGAACAATGGAGATCCACATGCTGTAGGGAATTGGATACTAAAGGAGCGACTGTATGCGGTTAGATAACCTGAAGGATGTCATCGAAGTGAGTGAGTGCCAGTCCAGGGCCAGAGACTAGGTCATCTTTTTTTTTTTGTGGCACCCCTCAGCGGAATATTGAAAGGGATTTTAAGGAAGTATTTGACAGATGGTTTGGTTTAAGGAAATGGTAAAGAAAAACACAGGAAAATTCATAGTAGATAAGCTGAAATCATAGATAGTTACTTAGCTACTAACTCACCTTGCCTTGGGATGACCTTTAAACTGTGCCACCTCGGCGTAACGTCTTCCCAGGGGAACCTCCTGGGGACTTAGCAGGGAATCACAGAGAGCCGTCGACACCGAGGACTGCTGATGATCACCCTGGATCGGTAGACTCATGCCCTTGATCAGGCGAGCAGATGGCTCTACCAGACCACCACCACCTCCCGCCGAGGATCTCAACTGTTCCTCGGCATTTCGATTGGCAAAGTTCTTGAGCTGCTCGCGCAGTGAATAATCCGCTGAACTGGAGCACGAAGTGGACTCCGAGGCGGTGGATGATGATGATGTTGATGATGATGAGCTGGCTGAATGACAACGTGGCACTGGCGATGCTGAATGTAGATGATCTTGGACAGCATTGCCATTCTGTAGATCCTGATAGGCAGCATGGGCATCCTCAGAGCCACTGCTACTGCCGCTGCTAGTGGAGGGGCTGCTCGACTGATTACTCTGGCTGGTCGTATCGGAGACACAGCTATCCATGCTGGCCGTAGAATTTCGATTCGAATTCTCTCTGGCCTTGGTCTGATCCATTTTGGTCTCCTTCTCATCCACCTCGATGTCGTGCACCTGCTGTGGCACTATGATCAAGGAAGTACGCTTCCTCAACGTATCATCCTTGGCATTCATATTCTGTTTAAGAGTCTTATCCGATTTGGTGGTATACACAATGACCTCCACTTTCGAGGCATTCTCGGCACAGGACATTGATCCTGGAACTCCTGTTACTGACACTGCTGCTGTTTCGTGTGACATCTTGGCTGGAAAGTCACTTTAATTTAGATACTTCTGGTTGGGTGGGGGGAAAAAATGGAAAATTGATGCTACCAACATGCCACACACACTCATAAATGAAGTCTGCCCGCCCGCCCTCACATATGTGTCAATCTTTTTTATTGATTTCGACATTAAATACCAGAGGTGAAGGCATCCTCACTCCCCCTTTTCCCCACTCTATTCATATGCCACATGGCATATCGTATATCGAATATCGGATATAAGCATAAGCATATAGCCGCACATCCGATGAGCCACTCAGAACATGAACGGCCAGGCTGTGGCTTTCAAAATGTTATTACTAATAAAAAAAATGTCAAGTCTGCTGGTGATATTATGTAACTGCAGTAAAAAACAGGGCAACACCTGCCAGCCAAATGGTAGTCAGAGACATTTTTTAAGTGCCCTCCCTCGCAGGGGGTTGATTGACTTGGACACTCAAAATGGGAGAGGGGTTTGTATAGAGGGGATGAGGATCTTATTTTGGGCAATATAAAACGGAAATATAAAGCTTAAAAGTTAAAGAAAATGCACTTAAAAATAGCTTTCAGCTAAGTTTATGAATTTTCTTACTTTTAGAGTTTTTTTTAAAGAGAAAAGTTGAAAAATTTCAATTTTCAATATTTATTTCCCTTAATTTAAGGCTAAAAGTGTTATATTTTGTCTAAGTTATAGCCTTGATCTTGTTAAATCAAACTGATCTTAATATTTTTCTATAACTTTTAAAATAAAATAACAAATATTTGTTTATTTTTTAGGTTGATATACTAACTAAACACATCTTTCTACTTTTTAATGATTTTTTTTACAAATAATTTTCTTAGTTTTTCTAAGTAATCATTAGTTAGTTTCTAAATTAAAGAAGATATCTCTTTTTTCCCCTAATACTATATCCCCCCATCAATATTTTTCTTAAATAATAATTCTACAAGTTCCTAGCTCTCCCTCTTCCCTTAGAGCATTCATCATTCGACTAGAATTTTATGGTTTTTTCTGAACTTTTAACAATAATTCCAGAGTGTCAGCACACCGCACAGTTAGAGTTTTCCGCGAGCACGTATCCATTTCATTTTGTTGAAAGAAAATATTTTTAAGCATTTCAGGGCATAAGTGAGGGCTTTTCCCACAAATAATATTAAAGAAAAAAAAAGAAAAAAAGTACTTGGAAAAGGTAGGCAAAAGGTGACCGCTGCTCATATTTGTGGCAATGGAAATGGAAATGAAAATGGAAATAAAAATGGCTATAGGAATGGCCATTCCCATTAGAGAGGAAATTGTAAACAACAGTTTGCGGCGGCGATAAGCAATTCCAAACATTTGCTGGCTTTGTTTTGACATCAAAAGAAATTGAAACAGAACAAAAAAAAAGTAATATTAATAAGCAAAAAAAAGAAACAAAAAAAAACAAAAAGAAAACAAAAAGAAAACAAAAAGAAAACAAAAAGAAAACTAAAGAAAAAACGCAAGAAGAACGCGGCAGAAATCCAGAACCAAAGCAAAGCCAAAAGTGGGTTTCGTTTTTCCTCCGCCGTCGTGCTCGAGTAAGTTCTTAATTTATTTATTCTCTGTGTTCGGCCTGAGTTCACATTCACATTGGAATGGAGTATGTACAATCTGTATATAGTATATGGGCTTTATACTATATAGTATCTGTATCTTTCGTCATGCGTTTAAGCAAATATTGTCAAATTCTTGAAGATTTGTCGCTGTTTCCGTTTTATCGCTTAAATGAAACGGCAAACGGCAAAGATTTGGCTTGGCTTTGAATATTTCTTGAAAGATTCATCAAAAGATTCACTGATCAAGGATATATATAGCTATAGCTAGCCACTAAATGTTTGGTTTGTTTTCTTTGAAATGTATTTAGTCATTTCCTGTTGCTTGGTTAAATGGTTTTGGTGGGAATTTTTTAAATTTTTGTGAAGAATGTTCTTAGAAAATGTCTTAAGGGTTTGGTTATGATTTATTTTAGGTTTCTTTTTAAAGAGAACTTTGATTTAAAAACTTACAAGATGAGTTAGAAATGAAGATTATTAAGTACCAATTAGCTAAGATCAAAGACTATATAGAACTTATATCTAATATAAAGTCTCTTTGCTGCTAACTGCTAAAGCTTCCCCCAAGAAAGCCAAGCCATTGACTTGTTTCTGAAATCAAAACAAATCTGTTTTTGGCCCATAAGTTCAGATAAATGAGAGATTTATAGAAAACCGATTAAGTTTATCCATAATTTGATCTATCAATTGGCTTTTCATGACAGTTAGACCTCTCTAACCTCAACTACTCCTCCAGAAACTGATAACAGCCACATTTTGCAATCACAAAACTTCATGTTTTCAATTCTAAAACCTCAAAATGTAAAGTTTAACCCATTTCCACCCACTTTTCCCATGAATTTCAACTCATAAACCTCGTCTTTTGAATGTTAAGTGTTTCGGAATACTGCCATCAATGATGACTTTGTTTTTTTTGTTGTCTGGCACCGTTTTCCCTGGCTGCACCTCCAAAACAAATTCCCATTTTCCCTGCACTTTTCCGCATTTGGAACTTTCACGATTTCGCTTCGATACAGTCGTGCTCTGGTTGGATTTCGAATGCAGAATGCATTTAGCTGTCTCTACAAAGCACACAAAGGGAGATGTGTTATAGTAGGTATATATCTATATATACTCGTATATAGTCAACATTTTGCAATTACCCAACTGAATCAGTTGACGAGCCAGCAATGACAACAAATTACAGTATTTATAATGGCGGTAATAGACAAGCGCGTTTCGTGTTCAACATATTCCTCGAGCTATTCGATTACCCATTCAGTGTTTTTGTTTTTCATTTGAAATGAATCCGCACGAAAGATGATATGCCATATATTATATGTGATTCCAATTCTGATTCCGATTCTGATTCATTTCTGTATTTCCTTGTAAAAATATTTTAACATAAATTGTCTAGCCTTGGAGTCTCGGTTTTCCAAGTTTGCAAGTTTTGAGGAAGAGAAAGGGAATTCTCATTCGCAAACATTGCTTCTTTTTTTTTATGAACTATGCTAGCCGTCTCTTTGCCAAGTCTCTGCTGGCATTTCTGATTACTATGCAAAGTGCGAAACGCAATTGTCAACAAATTGTCAACCAAACTTGGGCTAGTTGAGCAGTTTTCAACAATATATATATATCTATATCTATAGCTATATATATCTCTATATATATTCTATAAAGCAAGAGGGCACGGCACCCAAGTTGGAATCATTGGCCACGATTTGGGTTGGCTGCCAGGCCAAGCTTGACAAAAGCTGTGCCTGCCGTTTGCCATTTGCCATTTTTTTTTTTTTTTTTTTATGGCCTGCCACCGTTTTGGCCATTGTATGGAGAGTGGATAGTGATCGATTTCAAGGCCAAAAGCGACATATTTGGAGCGATAAAGCAGGCGGTGCCATAGGGAGTTGGCATAAAGAGGAAACTAAATGAATTTTATGATTTCCTTTGGTGGTTAGGAGAAGGTTCTTAAAAAAGCTTAAAGAACTTTTAATTTTATGGATTTTTAAGAAGTTTTTTAAGGCTTAAATAGAAGCAGAAAACTGTTTATGTACTTTTTAGCAGAAATCATTTTAGATTTGTTTTTAAAGAGAAAGTAAGTAAAAGGTAAACCCTTAAGTTTAGTTTTCAGAAAATCACTGAGTACCAAGTTCTGAATTGGTTTAAGCAAAGATAAAGTCCTTAAAATCTGTTAAATATATATGATTCCTAAAAATGTGTTATATTTAAACACAAATTAACCTTTTCTTAATGAGAATTAACGCTAGAAAAGCTAAATTCTTAAATTTTGTTAATAAAAATACCCAAAAATGCACTGAAATCTCAATCAAAACTAAAAATTGGTTTAAAAAATGAAAAATCCTTAGAACCCACAAAAAATAACCCAAAAATCAGTTTAAGAATTGAGAAATCCTTAAGAAAACCTCCATAAATAAGTTAAAAATCTGTTTCAAAAATGGAAAATCTACAAAAATTTTGGAAAATTAGTTTAAAAAGAAGAAAAATTCCTTAAAATTCGTTTCTATTTGACTAAGTCATAGTCACTCTTATATTTTAAGCATTTTACATACTACATCCTCTTTCATATTGACAAATCTTAATCATCATTGTCTTGCCTTGTGAGTCAAGCATAATTGCGTAATAAATGTTGTTCCCTAAGTGCATCTATCAGCTGGAATGCAATTAAAACCAAACCATGAATGTGATTCATAAGCGTGTGAGTGAGTGAGGTAGTGAGGGAGGGAGTGAGTGAGGGAGTGAGTGAGGGAGTGAGGGAGTGAGTGAATAATGAATGAGTGCTTATCTCTCTTTCCCAACAAACAAAAACCAACAACAACCAACGAGCAACATCGAAATGCCCCCCCCAAAAACTCTGGGGATTCCGTAAGTGGAATGCAATAAACTTGGAGCTTGGTCCCTCTCCTCCCTACCACGCCCCCCTTTTGAAAACTCTAAAAATTATTATTTTTTATATTTATTTCCCATATATATTCGAGTGTGTGTGTGTGTGTTTTTTTTGGGTGGGCAGTTCCGAAAACACGTTCCGCGCTTTTGTGTTTAGTAATTTTCCCATTTTTCAATTTTTCAATTTTTCCCTCGTGAATGGCTGTTGCTCCCATTGCTGTGGTTTAAGTTTAGTGGGTTTTGGCTATGGGTTTTGGGTTTTTTCAGGGTTTTGGGTTTTAGGTTCATTCTTTTTGGCCACCGGAACACAGGGTGAGATCTTTGCCCCCGGTGGTTGCTTTCTTGCTTTTTGTCTGCCTTGTTACTACAAATTATCGGCAGTACGCTCGGCACGTGCGCGACGTGTTGCCACAGTCAGGGTGGGGTAAGGGAGGGAGGTAAATGTAGAAATGCGGAACTGGGAAATGGTGGGTATTTTCCTTTCCACACCATACCATCCCATCCCATCCCATCCCTTTTTTCCCCCATCTCTGGTTTTAGTGTAATTG